AAACTAATTATCCAGTTTGAAACCAGTTTACTTAACATTTTTATTATATAATTACAATGTAATTTGCAAAAAAAAGGTTGTAAAAATTTTTTTTCATTACAACAATCAAATATATTTTATTCTTTATTAGTTATATCATTTCTCAAATATGAATTCAAAGTAACTTGCTGTTTAGAATGGAATTCTTCTCGTTCTATAGCTTTACATAATTTTTTATTGTATGAATTTGATTTTTTGGAAAATTAATTTTATCAGATTTTTGTTCTACATAAATGATTATTTTATTAAGTACTTCTGATTCTTTCATTAATTCTATAATTTTCTCATCTATTATCATCTGATAAGTTATTTCTTCTTTTTTACATTGCAAATATTCTTTAGCAGAAATTAGATTTTCATATATATTAGAAGTTAATTGAATAATAAATTCTTGTATTTTATTGATTTCATCAAAATCTGTAAAATAGACAAAATCATCAACATTAATTCTTTTATTATCATCAGTATTTAACGAAAAAATATTTGTTTTTCTCTAACAATTTATAATTACTTCTGATTAAATTAAATCCCATAATTTTGTATATTTAATTGACTTTTTTATTGTAATTTCAGTTATAGGTTGACTTGTTTCTTGATTATTATCAAATGCTTTAATAAAAATAATTTCTAATAATATGCTTTAAAACTTTTAATAATTCTAGCATCACAAGGTTGGAGATATGCAATTATGTTAGAAAGTAATTTATGAAAATGAATATTAGAAAATGTAGTATTCTTATATAAGATATGAGTAGATGTATTATTATAAAGTAAGATTATCGTTATATAACGATTTTGAAGTCTTAGACATACATCAAAAAGTTTATACCAATCATTCCAGATATTAACTTGCATATAAGCTGTTTTATTCTAATAATAATATACAGGTAGTGACAATTTTGGAATATGTTTTAAGGTGCGTAAATTTTGACTTTTTCCAATAAAAACTGCCTTGGCTTTTTCAATACAATACAATATAATAGTAACATATTCTTTAGATTATTTTCAACCTGCAACTAATATAAATATTATTTTAAATTTATATAATTATTTATATTAATTTATATTATCAATTAACATTAAATTTTACCTGATCTAATAGATAAAGTCTGATTTGGCTCTATTTTCCAATAAAGTCTAATTTCATTCATATTAAATATATTATTAGGTGAAATTTTTAAGAATATTTTGAAGATTTTTACACATATCATCTAAATCTTCTAAAGGAACACTTACAGCCTTTACATGTCTTAAGTAACATTCAATGTTATAACATTTTTTGAAATCTGTTAACCATCCATTTGATCCTTTAAAGTCTTATACATCAAGTAATGTTGCAAAATTTCTTGCTTTTTGTAATAATAATTCACCACTAATAGTAATATTATTATCTACAGTTTTTTCAATCCAAAAACTTAATGCTTCTTCAATTTGTGAAAAATTTAATTTAATTTGTCTTTTAATCAAAGCTTCATAAGATTCTGATTTTATAGCTAACCATTTTTCATTTTCTTTTAAAATATCACATAGCATTTATTCTAAAACATTAAATTCTAGAAAAGGTTTTTATTTTTAGGCTTTAGTTTCTACAACTTTTTTAAACAAATTTTCTAATTTTAGATACTTATAAGTGAAGCTCAGTTCATTTTATTTCTTTGGGTATTTTAATAAATGATTGATCAAAAAATAATAATAAAAATTAAAAATTAATATATATAATAAAAAATGATTTTTCATGATAAACTGTAGATAAACCCGTCTTATAGCGTTATGATTATTCATTTTAGAATACAATGACAAAAGTTGTATTTGGCTTAGAAAAAAGGAAATCTTTAGGAACAAGTTTATTATTAAATGATTTACATTCATTTCTGCTGATAATAATTAAGTTCTTTTTAAATATTTAAATTATTAATTTATACTTTATTAAAATTTTACAATGTAATATTTTCTTTAATAATAATACAAGAAAAAAAATTTGTTATATTCCTTAAATTTATTATAAAAATTCATTATATAAAAAAACTTTGTTAATAAAAGTCTCATTTATTATACTTAGTTAATTTGTTATGCTAATAGTAAGTTTGATTATAAAAATTTGTTATATTCAATAATTTTATTTAATGAAATTTAACTCATATAATTTGTTATAATAAAAAATTTAGAATATAGAAATTCGTTATAGTGAGGTTTATCTGTATTACAAAAACTTACAAACCTACTATAAGATTAAATAGATTACCTTTTATAATATTCCATAACATTATGGTGTAATATTCTGTAAAACTTTGATAATACAAGAATTTTGTAAATTCATTTTATAATATTTCAATAATTTTTAATAAAATTTAATTTGTCATATCATATTTTATAAATTTATTAATAAATTTATTATTTATATACAAATTATGTTTTATTTAAAATAATTTGAAAATGAATTACAAATAATATAAAGTTAAATTATAAAATGAAAATATTACAAAAATGAGGTTACAGTAAAATATACTATTATATATCTCTTATAGTAATAAAGTTAAAATTTTGTTAAAATGTTAATGAGAATTTTTTAAAAAAAATAATCAAACAATAAAGAAAATAAATATCAAATATTTAATATTCAAAAAATTCACATAAAAATAAAAAAACAATTAGTAGAATAAAAAAGTAAAAGAGAGATACAGTCAACCCTTGATATAACGAATTTTATGTTCTGAACTTCAACTTTGCTATAGAGCTATAGTGAATTTTTTAAAGAATTTGATTGGCTAGTTCGTTATAATGAGGGTAAATTTAATATAGTTGTCCAAAAAATTCGTTATATAAAAATTCGCTATAGAGAGGTATGACTGTAGTTAGTAAATTAGAGAAATTAAAAGAAAGATAGTTAGTAGAAGTAAAAAGATAATTAGTAAAAAAGCAAAAGAGAGAAAATTAATAGAGAAGCAAAGAGTAGAAAAAAAAAAGTGAGAAAATTAGTAAAAAAGTAAAGAAAAAATAAAAAGTGAAACAGTTAGTAAAGAAGCAGAAACAGTTAGTAGAAAAGTAAAAAAAAAATATTATAAGTATTATTAATATTAATATTAAAGTAAAAGTTTTCATATCAATAACTTGTTAAGAAACAAAAAAAGATTTTTTTTGTTTATTTTTTTTATTATATTGTTCATGAACTAGTAAAAATGCTCTTTTAAGTTTTTTATCAAAAATTTTTTTTTATAATTTTATATAAATTGAATATGTTTAACTATATGATAATCTAATTTTTTGAACATAAATGTATAATAAATTATTGAAATATTTATATAAAACTTTCTTTTTCAAAAAAATTAATAATCTAAAATAGGAATAATATGCATTTTTAATGTTTAAGGAAACATAAAATATAAAAATTTGTATCACATTACATATAAATTGATTATCATATTACATTTTGTTCTAAAAATAAATTATAAATAATGAAAATGATAAAATTTTAAATTCTGATTTCTCAAAAAGCAATAATTTATCAGAGAAACATTTGCTAGTCCATAACCTGTATGATTAAGTAAATTTTAATTAGTCAATTTATAAAGTCTGAAATTACGACTACTTACAAAAAATATATATTTTAATAAATGACAATAAAATATTTATGCAAGAAATTTTATTGGAGAAATAAAAAAAAATAGTTTTTATTTTTGTTTTTTTTTATTTCAATCTGTAATAATCGAAAGGATTTATATAACCTGAAATCTATGATTCATCCTATAACCAATCTCCATAGGTTTACAGTAAGATTCTTTAGCAAACTATACTGTCAGAACTGACCCAGATATTACTATCATTCATAGTGATGCTACTATATTGCTAGCTTAAGACTATTAGAAAGATTTGATATATCCTACTTATTGTCAGCTATCTAAGATCATATATCACTATAGGATTGAGGGATTCATTACACTACTAGGGACTCTTTTTACCCAAACTAATGCCACAGGATTTATGATATTATTACCACAAGAATTACCTAAACAGTGAACTAGTAAGGTAATAATTTGGCTATATTGACAAACTTCTTAGAAATTGAATCTAATCTCAGACCAAATGATATACTCAATTAGATAATGCTGTAACATGCAATGCAGTTTATTATTAACATTGATCTAATTTACTAATTTCTAATCAATCACTTTTTTAAACTTCATTAAGAGCCCCTGTAAAGTGAGATAGAAGAATATATTATTACAGACCAATTAGCAAAGGCCAAGTTTTTATTAATTTTAGGCTTTATTTACATTTTCATATTTTAACACTATGTAGTATTTAAGTATAATCAATATTAATTGATAAATCGATCAATCAGAATCTAATATATTACTATATACAGGATCTCAGAAACTTATATATAAACTTTCAGGTAAGCTTAAAAGTATTTTTCATATAAAAATTTCCAAAATCTTATATGATAGTTAAGGGTAAAATTTATATTACAAAAAAAATATGTATGGTTTTCTTAAAGGGCAATACTTTTTAAGATCTAAGAAATAATATATAGGTAAATTATAATTATATGTGATTATGTTTCAGATATAAGATGGGTAATACATTTATAATAATGGTAATATTTAGTTGATTATATTTCAAAATATATATAAAGTGATACAAAAAATATATATTTTTTATAAAATAAAAAATGAGTGGCGAATCTTCAAAAAATTCAAAAACTATTTAGAGTACTTTAAATTTTCCTTTACTATATATAAAACCTAAAAATAAAGAAAAATCAAAAGATATTAACAATCTTGAATTAAAAATACAAGTAATCTAACAAACTCTATCAAATTGATTTCCTTTATTTGTTAATTAAAATTTATGTAAACATAATATTAAAGAAATTATTTGTGATAATTCCAATTCCAATTCTAATACTAATTCTGATAATAATGAATAATAATGATACTAATAGTTCTGATTCTGAATATAAAATGGAAATAGATGTTAATTTACTTCCAAATATTTGTGATAAAGAAAAAAATTATGGCAAAATAAATATTTTCTTGAATTAATAACACCAAAACTTATTCAATATCAATATGACAAATAAATAAAATTAGATCAAGCATATAGGAATAAAAACTTGATTGCTTATGTAAGAAGTAATAGTTGTCAAATTAGATCTGATAGACAAGTTAGCGTAATAAAATATTTTTCAAAAATATCAAATCAACAATCAGCAGCAAAAAAATGAAATTCTAAAGCTTGTATTAGATTAACTAATAAAAAGATTAAAAATTATGTAATCAAAAGTCCAGCTGAATTTAGAGGTTTAAAAAATGATTATGTAATAACAAAAAGATTATTTCTAAAGAAATTTCCACAAAATTCTAAATTTTCATATTTTCAATTAACTTTAGAAGAATTACAACAATTAAAAACTACTTTATATATATATAGGAGCTCTGCAATAGAAAGGGAGGAAACTCTAAAAAAATTTTTTTTTGAGTTAATATTAAATCTGAACTTATTTTACAAAAAAAATCATAATTAGCTTATAAAGTAAAATTTTAATTTTTTTAGAATTTCCTCACTTTTTATTGCAAAGCTCCCATATGTTAAATAGATTATAGCAAAAGAAACTTTATCAATTAGAAGCATGAAATGTGAATTATTTATTTTTAATACAAATAAAATTTGTAATATATGCATAAAATTAAAATCAAATAAAAATTTATTAAATGTTTTAGAAATATTATGTGTTAATTTTCTTTTATTTTTTAAATCAAAATTATTATTTATTTATATATATACTTTTATTCATAGAAACGTGTAACAACTCAAACTTCTAAACATACTCTCAAATATTGATTACAAAATAGTACTTTGGTAAAATTATTACAAAATGAAAAATTTCAAGAATTATTTAGATTAGTTCAGCATAAGGAATCCAATATGTAGGTAGTTTCAATTAGTAGAAAATAGTCAAAAAAGAATGTTTAATAATGATAAAACTTTTAAGGAATTAACTGAATTAATGCTACAAATAAAAGATTTAGAAGCAAAAGATAAAAGCAAAAGAAGTTTAAGGTATTCAAAGCATTTACATCATTTTTTTAACTTATTATTAGAAAGCAGTCATAAATATCAAATTTTTAAAAAATGCTTGCTAAAATGGATTTATGATCAATTAAGTAATTATAATATCAATTTTAATTTATATTTCTAAGCTAAATAATATTTATAATTTTTATTTTAGATATTTATCGTTATGAATTAAGGATGAGGATAGATTAACAAATCCAAATTTAGTTTATGAAAATGTTACTAGATTTGCACAGGCTGTTGATTCATTAAAGTGGAATAGATCAATAATTGCAATGACCGACTGTACAAAAGTTCATTCTAAACTAATATAGGGTGAATGCTGGAAAAAGGACTAAATTGACAAAAAATTTTTTTTTAAAATAACAAATGATTTGAATCAGATGACCAAATCTACATCTATTTTACTTAGGAACTTTTTTTTAAAAAAAAATCAATTTGGTCTATTTTCTCAGCACTCACCCCATATATTCTCAAGAATTAGGTTACATCATAGATTCTATAATAAATTTTGAAGATTCATATATTGATACATATGATAATATTCATCAAATAATTAAAAATATCTATAAAAAAAATGAAATTGCATCACAAGTTCAATGCATTTTATTAAAGGTATATTCTATTATTAAATTACAATTTATTTGTTTATTATTTATTTATTTATTTACTTTATTAAGATTCCAATTACATGAATTCCTCCAGTTATAATTATTTTATTACCTACAAAAGGAAATAATACAACAAATAAAATATATAACTTGCTGTATAAATTAATTAATATGTAATTAGTATTGCATCAGAAGGAGCAGCTAGTGAATATAATGTGTAACTTGAATTAATAATAAAAGGATATAATACAAATAATCTTTTACTTTATAAGGATGACATTTATAATATAAAATTTTCAGCACCAATTTATGAAAATAGGCCAATAATTAAGTACAAGACCTAAAGCATGCTAAAAAGAATGGTAGAAATAATATACATAGTAGGGTATGTTTATTAATGGTTGGCAAAGATACTATTAGATACGATTAGATTCTTATTCTTACTAAAGATGATAATTCACTATTATATATGAGGGATATAATTAATGTAAATAAATAAAAAGATGGTACTGAATTTAGATTTTTTAGTTCAGCTCTTTTAAAGCAATATCAAAAAAATAGTATTGTTGAATCAGATAAATTAGGATTATTTGTATATCTATTTATTTTCAGAAAGTTATTTAAATTTAACTTAAAATAATGTAAAGTATAATTAATAATATATTTTTTTGTTTCTTAAATAATAGGTAAACTTTTTAATATATACTTGAATTATTCTATATCACATAAAACACATATTATAATGATTATGAGAGCCTATTTTTTTTATTAATGTGAAAGGAATATTTAGAAAGATGTAGTAATTTACATTTAAGTAAATGGTATTCATTTTCTAAAAGTTGTATTTCATTGCAAAGCTGGAAAATATTCATTAGTTTAGCGGAATCTATGGTTTTGTTAATTATAACTTATAGAAATTTTTATTTAAAATTTACTTTTTTATCATAGAAACATGATACCAAAGTAATTGAGTATAAATTGAAATTGTAAGACAAATTGTATCAGATTTTTCATATTATGAATTTTATAAAATAGTAAATTGTGTAATGTATAGAGATAAAATTTTAAGAGTTGAAAATTTGATTAATAATCAGGATAAAACATTAGCTCAAGATATGTAAATTATATAATATTATTTTTTATTATTTTTTATATAAAATTAACTTAATTTTTTATTGTTAGGATATATTTTTGATATTAATAGAAGTATTTTGTTTGATAATAAAATTGAATTATTAAGACATTGGCTGAATAATGATAAAATTGAAGATACGATTAGGATAACACATTTAAATGTATTATTTTTTATGGATTATATTAGAATTAGACAGCAACAGAAAAAATTTAATATCAAATACTATTATGCCTGATTCAGATTGTAAACCAAATGAAAATAAAAGTGATAAACTAGAATAAATTCATAACTTTAAAGGTGCTGTTTCTGAAGTTACAAGACTATCTGAATTAGATAAACTTTAAAAGAAATGTTAAGTAATGATCAAAAAAATACTGAAAAATGATAGTAACAATAGCGATAGTGATGATAATTGTGATGATAATTGTGAAAACTATAATAATAATGATTTTATTAAAACAACAGAAATTCAATATATATTAGAACATATTAAACCAACTGTTATTAAATTACTAGAGAGAACCAGAAAAATCAATTTTTAATAATGAAAATCTTGATATATGGGAGGTTTGCCAGGAAAATGGGGCTCTGAGCATTTTTTTTTAAAATTTTAATTTTTATTGCATTTTAATTTTTGATAATGTTAGATTAAAATGCAATAAAAATTAAAATTTTAAAAAAAAATGCTCAGATCCCCATTTTCCTAGCAAACCTCCCATATGACAAGTTTTAGCAATTAGATTATCACATGATGCAATTTCATATTTAGATCATATTTGTAGAATTAAACATTTAGAAATTAACTTGAATGAAAATTCTGATGATTTAGTTGATTGTAATTATACTAACCATTTGATTACTCAATTGTTTGGCAATGATAATAGTAACTTAATTATTCACAATAAAAATAAAAGATGGTTAAGAAAAAAAAGAATAGAAAATATTGATTTGAATCAAAATAATTTAAAAGGTATTGTAAAAATTTTATTATTGTTTATTTTTTATTATTTAGAATTAATTTTATTTTAATTTAGATATTGGCTATGCTAATGTTTTGCAAAATAATCCTTTAGAAATAGATGGATTCTTAATTATTTTTTCAGATCAGAAATTATATATTGGAAAATTATTAGTTATGTATGAAAATATTGGTAGAAAACACAATTACATTTCACGTAGTATAAATAATATAGACATTTTATCTTATATTTCATTAACGTTATTCATTAATGTATATAATGAATCTCTTTTTACTAATAATTGTCATGCTGGTGGAAAATTATTTGCATATATAACTCCTAAAGAAGTGGTTTATTATCTTGAAAAAAGTGATTCAATTACTTTTTAAAACAATTCTATGCTTATGCTAATGTTACGCCAGTTCTTTAAAATGCTTAACTTAAATAAGCATTATGATTACATGTGCAAAAGGTTTCCTTCGTAAAGAAGATAAAGAACTTAATTATAATTTTATGAGTGTAAAGAAAATATGATAATATGCGTAGAATAAATGATTAACAAACAAAATTATAGTACTACCTCTATCGGCATGTTTATACTAAACAGTTTATTTATTAAAAGATTTAAAACTACTAAAATTAATATAAGACAAAACTAAAACAATCTCTCAATACTTAGTCTTAAATTACGCCTATTTATATAAAAACTATCCTATATACTATTATAATAATTTAAATAAAGAAATAAAGAAAAATAAGATAATGAATAAAATAGATAAAATAAATATAATAAAATAAATAAAATAAATAGATAAAATGAATTAAATAAATTAAATAAACTATGATGTTAATGGTTTCTATTATACAAATGCATTTTTACTACTTTTTTTTTATTAAGGTTTTAACAATGACAACTGAGTACCCATTGCACTAGACTAAACTATTAATAGCTAGGTACCTATACAGATGAAGTGCAGGGCCTATTAAATCTCAGGTATGTCCCTATTTTTAAAGTTATCCACCATGTCGAAAACCCCCTCAATGTGTCGATCTAAGTATGATATCTTAACCAGGTGACTTAAACCGCATATTGTGATATGTATTAGGTACTTAGCATCAAAGGTACTGTTAAATTTGAATAGAGAGTTCATCTTAGCTATAGTATATATCATCACTATTCTTACTAACAATCTAGACCAAGATCTAATTACTTGGGTTGGCTTTATTATAACTATACAGAGAGACGCAGGTAAAGTTGCTTGTCTAAACTCATTTTGGATTTGGCAAAACGGTTAAACCTTTAGTTTCGCTAAATTTTTATTAAGTGTTTGATATAGTTTCGTCATTTTTATAAGCTTTGATATAGTTTTACCTTTTTCCAAATTTCGCAGATTTTTTAATAAGGTTTTAATATAATTTAACCAAGTTTTACTTTTACCATTTAGACGTCTGTCTAAACTCTTGATTTCGTCCAGCAACCTTAGCCGCAGGGTTCATAGGATAATATCACAAGATTTGCCCAAACAGTGATCTTTAGTCGCACATGTAGATTATATTAACCAGATAACTTTGATATCCATAATGTCAAACAACTCAGGAATCAAACCTGATCTCTAACCCTAGTGACAGCTTGATTAAATGTGCTACAGATATGCAATGCAGTTTTATTATCACCGCTATCTAATCTACTAAGTTCTGGTCAATCACTTTCTTAATTTATATACAACCTTATGATTATATACAGAAATAAGGGCCCCTGCCAGGTGAGATGTAAGATTGTATCCATTACAGACATATCAGCGAAGGCCAAGTTTCTGTCGATCTAAGGCTTTATTTACATATACTTGTTCTAATACTATGCAATATATAGACATGATCAATATTGATCGATGGATCAATCAACAAGATTTGTACGCATGTTAGTACATATACCTATTGTATTCAGTACATATGAAATTTTTATGAAAATCATCTAGTTTTATATATCAGCTGATACCTGAACTGATGGCCTATTGCTATGTAATAAAACTTTAGCTTAATAGGAGACTCACAGTTTAACCACTGAACCAGGGATGCCAATCCCACAAATCAATTTTACTACTTTTTTTTTTAAAGACGCGATGAAGCATTTATTTATTTATATTTCAAAAATCAATTAATAAAAAAAGAAAATTCCCAAGACGGGTACAAAAAGTAGAAAAATAAAGTAAATGCTGCTTAGCCCTCTTCGAAGGGTTTAACCAACTCCGACCAAACCAACCGGTTGTCCCGTCATGTTCCTAAACAACTACTATAAGAAAAAAAGTCACTACATGACTAATGAAAAGATAGTTAGACAACTAGTTTTCACTGCTTTAAAAAGAGGCCAAGATAGACCATGAATGTAATAATCATAAAACAAGTTAGAAAATTTGAAAGATGCAGAGGAAGTGTTATATAAGTGAGGAAAATGAGATGAAGATGTGGAGTTAGAGATATTAGGAGCTTTATTATAAAGTTTTTTCTTTTTAGTAATAATAAGTTGCAGTTTAGTGGCAATAGTCAAATCACATCTAGGAATCCAAATTAATGTAATTGCTTGATTTTGTATATGTTCAAAAAAGGCAGATAGGATAGTCATGGTTTTTTGTTACATTTCGTGAAGTTGTTGATGCAGAAAACTAAATGATTAGGAACGATTCCTTTGATAATATCTACAATGTTAAACCTCTTAGAAGAATTAATAGTCGGAATCCAATAATCAAAAGTTGGAGTCATTAAGGCTATCAATTCATTAGACCATTCAGTTTTAGATGTGTGTATAAAAAGTTATTCTTTGAGTATAACAAAAGCACTAAGTACTATTTGATTGAGTAAACGGTGATTCCTTGAACAAAGCCATATGTGATCAAATGTTTCTTTTTCGGTAAGACATTTACAGCAGGTCTAGCTATCGTCATATAAATCTGATCTTGAAATTTTTAGACTTTCGATTGAAGGAGTAGCTCTAAAAGGAGTTGATATTTTCGTTTGTGGCGATATGATTCTTTAAAGGTTGTTTGATTCAAGGGTTCATAGTTGATGAGTTGAAAGGTGCAGAGCTAATTGATAGACAAATCAGAATATTTAGCATGCCTTTTTAAGTTAAAAAAGTCAACGATAGTGTTTGTGTTGGTATAGTCTTTGAAGAAAGGTCTTATTTCCTTGTTAATCGGTAGATGTCAAAAGGTAGAAACGAAGGAAATATAAGGAATGTGATTGAATGAGAGTGTCAAAGGAGGTTGCGTCAAAGCGGATTTTGCTAATCTATCTACATTATTATTATGAGGATTCACTGAATGATATTTAACTTTAACCAAGGTGAGAGCAAGCTGATTTTGTTCAATAATTCTAAGTATGAAGCACTAAAAGAGATAAAAGGGAGTTTTGAGAAGGATAGAAGGATATCTAGAAGCGTTTGTGTGTATCAGTCTATTATAAGTCAGAATAAGATTTAAACTATCAGTATTAATGATAATTTGAAAATTAAAGGGACAAATAAGCAGTGTTAGTAACAAAGCAAAAATTTCAGCGTTAGTGGAGTTGGCCCAAACCGGAGTTAAAGTAGCAGCATAGCTAATATCTATGTTATCATCAATTAACAAAAAAGCAAAACTAATGTAAGAAGAAATAGAAGTATCAACAAAAAGGTGAGAACTATCTGTATAAAATTCTAATTTAGTTTCAGAAAATAATCTATTTTTAAATCTAGTTAATGTACTAATACAGTTAGGATCAGTGAAATGTTTTTCGATAGTAATGTATTCTAAGTCTAATTTTATAGCATTATTGTACATAAGGTTGCTGAACGAAATCAAGAGTTTAGACAGACGTCTAAATGGTAAAAGTAAAACTTGGTTAAATTATATTAAA